AATTTTGTTTTTTATATTTAAAATTTTTTGAAAATAAAATTAAAAGCTGGGTTACCTGATTACTTTTAAAATTTTATGTTGTGAGAACCGATTTATTAAGTTTGTATAGCCTAATTTAAAAAAAAAATTTTTTAAAATAATAAATTTCTTTTAGGATAAATCAAGAGTAACCGTATTGTTTTGTACCAATTCAACTGGCTCTCACAAGTTTCGTCCATTGGTTATTAGTTCCTCTAAAAAACCACGATCTTTCAATAGAGTAAATCGATCGCAATTACCAGTTGACTATCAGAACAATAAAAAAGCATGGATGAGAAGTGATATTTGGAAGCGTTGGTTGAAATTTATCGATGCTGGTTTTCATATTCAAAATAGGAAGGTTTTACTTCTAGTCGATAATGCACCTTCTCATATGTCATCAAAGGAAAATAATGATACCGAACAGCCTGAAGAACCTGAAGAACCCGAAGAACTAGAAGACCCTGAAGAACTTGAAGAATCCGATGAACCCAAAGGCCCGATGAACCCAATGAACCCAAAACCCCTGAAGAACCTGAAGAATCTGAAGAATCTGAAGTGCCCGAAGAATCCGAAGAACAATTTCAGGAAAGATCTCAGGAAAGATCACAAATAAAGTCTCGAGGAAGGCCCAGAGGAAGATCACAAGGAAGGTCCCGAGGAAGATCGCAAGGAAGGTCCCGAGGAAGATCGCAAGGAAGGTTTCAAGGAAGGTCACATGGAAGGTCCCGAGGAAGGTCACAAGGAAGGTCTCGAGGAAGGTCGCAGAGAAGGTCCTGTAAAGAACCTCAAAAAAAAGTTCCAGACTATTATTATCTTACAAACATTACTGTATATTTTCTCCCACCTAATATGACTGCACATCTTCAACCAATGGACGCAGATGTAATAAGATGCTTCAAATTGAAGTACAAAAATCTTTATTGCCGTTATTTGCTCTCACAATTTGAAAAAAATGAGGAGCAAAGGTGAAACTTTGTTTTGGCATTTATTATTTGAATACTGCCAAGGAAAATTGGACATTGGTTTATCATTGATTATTTAAATAAATAATCAATGATAAACCAATGTCCAATTTTTCTTGATAGCACTTATTTACTTTGCCAATT